GATAGATAGATAGATAGATAGATAGATAGATAGATAGATAGATAGATAGTAGATAGATAGATAGATGAAAGATAGGTAGGTAGATAGATAGATGATAGATAGATAGATAGATAGATAGATAGATAGATAGATAGAAGATAAATAGATAGTAGATAGATAGATGATAGATAGATAGATAGATAGAAGATAGATGACAGAGATAGATAGATAGTAGATAGATAGATAGATAGATAGTAGATAGATGACAGAGATAGATAGATAGTAGATAGATAGATAGTAGATACATAGATAGTAGATAGATGACAGAGATAGATAGATAGATAGATAGATAGTAGATAGATAGATAGTAGATAGATAGATAGTAGATAGATGACAGAGATAGATAGATAGTAGATAGATAGTAGATAGATAGATAGTAGATAGATGACAGATAGATATAGATAGTAGATAGATGACAGATAGATAGATGACAGATAGATAGATGATAGATAGATAGATAGATAGAATATAGATGGTAGATAGATGACAGATAGATGATAGACAGATGACAGATAGATAGATGACAGATGGACAGATAATGAAAAAGCAGCCTGCCAGCCTCACCATGTCTGAGCTACCTCTGAGCATCGCTCCCTCAGCGCCATCCCTGACCGTGAGGACTGAGGTGTGCGTGCTGGGTGTGCACTCTATCACAAAGCTGTACCACCAGGTCCTCCTCTCCATTTTAAGGCAGGTTCTCTCTGATTGCCTGAACTTCAGCCCGCTGGGTCCAGGCAGGCCTTGACCTCTGGGGTAGCTGGGCCGACAGGCTGTGCAGCCAGGCCTGGCTTATTTTAACATTTTTAGAAAAGATTTGTTTTGGACAATGTGTGTATGTGGGGAGGGGCAAGAGCGCTGTGCCGTGGTGGCCAGAGAGGGTGGCACAAGTCCTGGAGCTGGATGGGTGGCTGCTGAGGTGGGCGCCGGGAACAGGCCCTGGGGCCTGCGCACGAGCCCTTCAGCACTGTGCCCTGTCGCCCAGCTCGTCAGCAACGACCTCACAGTGGCCTTCCAGCCATGCCAGCGAGCGTCACGGCCTGGGGCAGCTGGCACCTCCTCTGTTGGTGACGGCGTGTTGGTTGTGCTCCTCATAGTTGCCAGCCATTCCGAGCTGCCAGCCACAGACCTCTGCTCCGCTCTGCCACGGTTCTACAAGCAAGCAGACAGACTTGTCCCTGCTTCAGGAACAAACTGCGGCCAGGGGCAGGGGATCCCCCAAGCCCACCTGCGCAGCTGGGCTCAGCGGGAGAAGAAGAGCCCCAGGCCGGGCCTGCCGGGAAAGCCATGCTCTGGATGCCCCTGAAGCCCGCAGCAGCGCTCTGCAGAACTGTGGGGACTGAGATGATACAAGAGCAGTCGGGAAGACAGGCAGGTCTACGCCTTCTGAGGCCCCAGAGCCACATGGAGGCAACTGTTTCCAGGACAGCGGTGTGCCCGGGGACGTGGTCTGCCAAGGCCCCTGTTTCGAGTTCCCCCCAAGCTGATGGAGGGCACCCCTGAGCTGGTGCCGGCTGTGCGCTACATGGTTAATCATTCACTCATCATAGATTCAAAGCCTAGTAGCCATGTCTGAGGTGCTGACGTCCCTGTCATCCGTGGGCCTGGGAGGCTGTGAGCCACACATAGCCTTTGACACAGTAGCTGCCACAGGTGCTACACACGCGCGCGCACACACACACAGGCGCACACACATACACGCACACACAGGATAAGGACATGCCAGGTAGTGTCTTGTAATATGCACTTAGGAAGGGCAAGTGCCTGCTCACCTTTCCTGCACGGAGCGACCAGAGGCTGCTCAGAAGGGCAGCGACTTCACTGTCTTCACCCGCCAGCCTCACAGCCAGGGTCACCATCAGGTCAACACACAAGCCAGGATCGTGTCCTCGCCTTCCTGGAGTGAGCGGAGGTCAGAGTGCAGAGCCCGCAGCCAGGCTGGCTCAGGCCACACTCGGGACCGCCCTGGGGCGGTGGGGTGCGCCCTCTTCCCAGCTTCCCGTGGCCTCAGGATCCCCCAGTGTTTTGGAGCCCCGCCCCCCTGATTCCCAGCTTTGCTCACACACATGGAAAACTGGCTGAGAACTACTTTATTTGAAGACAGTTCACAGTCCAAAGAAACAAAACGACGGAGCGCCGTGGCTTACAGGTGTGAGGCGCTTAAATACTGGTGTGTGACAATGTGACACTCTGACAGGTGTGTTTCTGCCACACTCCAAACTACAGCCTCAATACAATCTTCAGACAAAGAAAGTGTCAGTCGTGACAGAGCACACCTTGAAGATTATCCTTTTCCGTAAGAACAGAGCTAGGTAAGCCAGCGCTGCAGGACAGTGGCTCGCCTACCCTGAGGTGACGCACATTTCCCTTCAGGTCACCACTGACAGGCGGTGAAAGCGCTGGCCCTTCACCGTGGTCCCTCTTCACACCTCGCTGCTTCCTGCAGGGACAGGTGGACGCGGCCACGCCACACTGGCAGCTGGCGGTCACTGTGTCTCCTGCTGTGTTCCCAAACCAACCGAAGAAAGTGAAGGGCAAACGCGTGCACTAAACGGCTCAATAATCACCCACAAGGCAAACTCAGCACGGCCAGCAGACAAGGTGTCCGAGGGCACCGCTGAGCTCTTCTCGGGAATGTTCTAAAGCAGGGGCCTACGTGTGCCAGCGCCGCCTGGCGCCTGCCGAGCCCTTCCCGCTGCCTCCTACGGTGCTCGCTGCACGCTAAACAGAACAGTCTGCACATCATTTTTGTTTCCCACACTGAGAAGCGCAAGGCTCATAGAAAACAGTAAACCTGTGAAAAAGTGAAAAACTCAATCACGGACACGATTCAGATGCGAGGCCAAACTGGCCCGGGGGCATCCACAGCGTGGAGCAGTGGGCAGAGTGCGCCACGGCGCAGGAGGCCCGGCAGACGGAGCCCGCGAGCCCGGCCAGGGGCCCTGCTGCCAGCGCCCTGGCGGAAACGAGTGCCGAGTGCCGTCCAGGGAAGCGCCCGGCCAGGGCCCCGGGCTCGGCACTGAGTGGCACTGACAGTCTCTGTCCCCGGGGAGCGGAGCGGATGCGGCTCACTGCTTCGTCTGGCAGTGATGACGGGTCACGTCGCCCTTCAGGCCAGCCTGTCCGTGAGGCGGGCCGGGGCCGGTACTCCCTTCCCTCTGGCGGGCTGGCAGGGCAAACCCCGGCACAGAGGGGCGGCGCCACCTCAGCCTCCCCGCTCAGGACAACCGTCGGTCGGCGGCCCGCTCCGCTCCCGGGACGGGGACGAGGACAGCAGGCCCTCCTCTCCCCCCTTTGGCCTGCAGAGCACACCCTAGCGCTCTCACACAGCTTTACTGAACGGTAACATGCTCCTGTCCTCCCTCAGGAGACGCGCTTCCCCACCCGGTGTGGGTGGGAACCTAAGGCATTTCGAGCTGCTTGGGTTCGAGGCTTTAGGGACAAGGAACAGAACAGCACGGTCCCAGTCTCTTTGGTTTCCTGCTGACTCAGGCCTTCTGAGGTTGCTGCCGGGGCCCAGACGTGCAGGTTCTCTGGCGTGTCTGGGCGCAGGCTGTCCAGGCTGCGGATTCTCAGCGATCCCGGAACCCTCCCAGGCCGCGGGGAGCAGCGTCCTGAAGGGGGGGTGCCGGAGTCAGGGCAGCAGGCCCTCAGCCCACACCGCCCATGCCCGAAGTCCACGAATCCGGCAGGCAGCCCCTGCCCGGGTCCTGCCAGGCACTTCCTGCCGCACAGTGGGGCTCGGAACCCGGCAGAAGCGTCTGGGGATGGTGAGGCAACGGGAGGGGAAGAGACCACAAAGGCAGGTGCACACAGGGAGCTGCCTGGGGGAGGCTTCCGGTCCTTCATCCCAGCCAAAGTCTCCAAACGGCACCAGCAGAACCAAATGCCCACTCGGGTGAAGGGCACAGGCAGACGTCATCAAACCCAGCTGGCAGCCAAATGGGCACAGTTCTGCTGGAGTCCGGGCGGCCATGCCTCAGACCCATGCGCTGTACAAGGCAGCAGGTTGGGCCTGGCTGGGGAGGGCTGGGGAGGGTGGAGAGGGCTGGGGCTGGGGAGGGCTGGGGAGGGTGCGGCTGGGGTGGACAAACGCTCTGTGGGTGACGATGCTACAGCTTCATTTGGTCCAGAACCAAGTCGCTGGCATTAGGAAATAGGCCAAAGGTGGCCATCAGCAGGACTAACGGACTGGTTGACAGTACTGTACTTTCAAGATGTGGCTTTTCACAAGAGAACTGCCCATCTTCATGCACTGCCAATTCAGCCACCAGTCTCCTCTGAATACTCAGAACTATGCTGCAGAAAATGAAGACCCACAGCAACAAACAATTTAGATTTGAAAGCGCGGTAATGAAATTACAGGCTCCCAAAATTCATTTCTACAGTGAATATAAATTAAATCTATAAGTACCATTCTTTGGTGAAGATCTCAGTTCAGAGTTTTTGTTTTTTGAAAAGAATCCAGGAAAACAATTTTAAAAATAATAACTAAAGGCAAGCATGGCGGCAGGAGGCCCCCAATCCCAGCACTTAGGGTGCTGAGTGAGAATCCCGGGTTTGGGGTTACCCTGGATGTAAGGCAGTACCCGGCCAAAAAAAAAAAAGGAGTGAAACAGACTGTTTGGAAACAGACGTGGCCCAAGCGTCCAGCAGTGTTATAAGCGAGTTTCTAGCTGGACAGCTACTGGTAGATTTGGTGACAAGACCCCAAGAACTGCCAGCATGTCTCAGATAAAGGCTAACGAACCTCTGAACAGCTGTGCAAATGGAGGTCTGTAGCTAGGCTCTACCGATGTCTTAGAGGCCTGGCTTAACAGGGGCCCTGACGGGACTCCTCTCCCGAGACCAGGTGCGCAGCTGTGCTGGGGACGGGCTGCCTGCACGCTTCCTTCTGCTGTGACCTCCTTAAATGCAGGGCTGTGACTGAGAGGCTCTGCCCGCCGCCACGCGGTCGGCTCCGTGTGCTGGCTGCCCCACACTGCAGCTGCTGTAGCAAATGCTCTTCACTGAACTCCTGAGGGAGCAGGCTTGCTGCCGCTGTATGTGCCGGCCATTAAGGCTCTTGCACACGGAGTGGGCCCTCGAGCTTTTTAAGGAGCCCCGAGCCCTGCCTGGCAGGTATTTCTAGTCACTGGAACTGACTTAACGAAATCTCTCGAGCTGTTCACTGCTGTTGGCGTGAGAGCCGTGAGGCTGGAGTCCCATCTGACCTCAGCAATGGCAGCACAGGTCATTCCAAGGCTGGAAAGAGCTTTCCCTGCCTCCTAGCACACAGGAGCTGCAGCCACCCTTCCCACAGAAAGGCACAGCACGCTGCACGCCTATCCTCGTCTAAACGTGCAGAAGTTGTTTGTTCTGTTTTGTAAATCATGAAACAAGAACCAAGTCAAACACGTTCAGTAAAAGTAACTCATAAAGGCATTTCCTAAATTTGGTGCTTCCCTCACTTAAGACTCAATTTGTAAAATGTTTGTAGCAATGGTCAGAAAGCAAAGACCTCACGGGGCAGCTTCAGCAGCCTGTGTCGCCCTGCTGCCTACATCATGGGGTCCCGGGTCCACCCACACAGCACCCCCAAGTGCGAGAGGATGGGAGAGGCGGCCGAGAAGGCGCTCTCCTCGTGTTTTGGTGGCCCAGCTGCTGCTGGGGCTCTGTCTGGCTCTGTCCCCGAGCAGGTAAGGCACCATAGCTGCGGCCCAGGGGAGCAATGAGTGCAGCCAGCACAACCTACGGAACTTGCTTAAAACATCAAGAGTTGGGTTGCTTTTCAGCTAACTCAACCGTGCCCAAACCTTACAAATGGTAATGTAATTTCTAAATGTCAGAGGCTGGACACACTGTGAGGGTCTGTGAACACAAACATACCATGAAGTGCCTGATCAGAGACGGGGTGGCGAGCGTGGCTGCAGGGGTGAGGAGGTGGACGCTAAGGCTTGTCAAGATCACGAAAAGGAAAATCTCTACTGATGCTATCTCGGGTGACCTCAAGAAACAGCCTGTTTTACTGGCCTAGCACGAGGCCTGGACTCCACTCCCAGCCGGAAGGGAAGAACACGAAACAAAGCCATCACTGCTGCCTGTCAGCGCCGCCAGGGCCCTGCCACGCCAGCCCTGGCTACCTTCTCACGGCGGCTGAGGACTGTGGGGCTTGTCATGACCTTTTGTTCCCACGATGTGAAGGACAGGGTAGGAGGAAGAGTGTTGGTCTCTTTGCCCGAGTTTTCAAGTCATTAGTTCGAGGAGGCTTCCTTACAGCTGAGCCCACACACGTGACCTCTGCCAGGCTGCGCCATCCCTCCCGGAGTCTGTGGCAAGGGTCTGGCCTCCTTCACGTTGACCCGGCTGTCTCTGCGCTGTTGCTCAGGTCTCTGCCGGGTTGGGCAGGTAGAGGGAGGAGAGCAACAAGTTGTGCCCGAAGGCGGGGAAGCGCCGGAAGGCCTCCCAGCTGCCCTCGAAGATGTTGTACTTGAGGAACACGCGGTGCTCCAGGCTGGTGGACAGGGTCACGTCCCTGCTCATGATGTACAGGCCGTCGTTGTGTAGCGCACACGTCAGGTTCAGCCCCGACTTGGCCGTGTTCTCCTTGAGGCAGAGCCAGCGGCGCGTGGCCGTGTTGTAGGAGCGCACGGTGAGCGTGTCTGGGCCGCCCCTGCGGCTGGGCCCCGGCTCGTGCAGGCAGCCGCCCACCAGGAAGATGGTGTCCTCCACCGACAGCATCTGCTGCTTGCGGAAGTGCACGTGGCAGGTCTCAACTCGCGTCCAGAGGTCGGCGGAGGGGCAGTACTGAAGGACGTCCATGTTGCGGTCTGAAACACAGAGACGCGGCGTGACACACGGGACACAGAGACACGGCGTGAAACCTGGGACACAGAGAGACAGCGTGACACACGGGACACAGAGACACGGCGTGACACCCCGGGACACAGAGACACAGCGTGACACCCGGGACACAGAAAGACAGCGTGACACCCCAGAACACAGAGACGGCATGACACCCAGGACACAGAGACAGCGTGACACCCGGGACACAGAAAGAGAGACAGCATGACACCCCAGAACACAGAGAGACAGAGTGACACCCGGGACACAGAAAGAGTGACACCCCAGAACAGAGAGCGTGACACCCCAGAACAGAGAGACAATGTGACACCCCAAACACAGCGACACGGCGTGACACCTGGAACACAGAGACACTGCAACACTCCGGAACAGAGAGATGGCACGCCACCCAGGCAGTGCGGCCAGCGGCGTCCGCTGGCTTCCTCTTGAGACACTCCTCCCTTGAGAACCTCAGAACCACAGAGCCCCAGCGGCCTGCACTGTCTTACACAAAACGGAAACCCCACACTGTAACACTTCTTCCTCAGCAAAATGACAGGACAGCTGCCCAGACATCCAGGTAAAGCCAGGACATCCAGATGAGGCCCAGACATCCAGGTGAGGCCCGGACAGGTGCCGTACTTGGACAGGCTTGACCGGGACTCAGAGCACTGCAAAAGTGCTCCAGAGCCAAGTCTGGGTCCAAACTAGCAGGGCACAGGGAGGCCGAGTCCTTCGTGTTTTGGGGCTCCTGTGCCCCGAGGAAACTGTATTCTCTTTGGTCCTCCCGAAGGCCTGCGTGCTCGGACAATGAAGAGCACTCTAGGAGATGGCCGAGGGGGTGGCTGTGGCCGGTCACCAGCCAGGCCCTCCCCTGTTCGGCATACTGTAGCTCCCCGGCCCTTCAGGGAGCTCAGGCACCCCGACTTAGGGGATAATCTTTGAATCGACGCATTCAGAAGATCCCTCTGCCCTTGAGGGTTGCTGGGATCCCCGCTGGATTTCTGTCTGTCGTTTTTGTTGTTTGCTTTTTGATTTTGAACAGGGTCTCATTCTCTAGCCTGTGTTCACCTGAGCTGGAACTTGGTATGTAGCCCAGAATGGCCTCAAAGTTGCAGCAATCCTCCTGCCTCAGGGATGGCCTACCTCACCTGGTATCTCCATCTCTCCACTGCCTGGAAAGAACTAAAATCATGAAAGTCTCTTAGAAAAGTCACGGGCCAGCCGGGGTGGGGAGGCACAGCTCTAACCCAGGAGAGGCGGGAGGCTCTTTCTGAGTCAGGCTATACACAGCACAGCACGCTCCGAGACAGACAGGGAGACCCTGTGTCAACACAAAACCAAAAAGTCATGGACCGTTATGTGTGAATTTTAAAATCTCTTTTAAGAAGTCATCAGGATGAGAACCAACTCAAACGCTGGTCTTTATTTCTTCTCGTTTTTGTTTGTTTTCCCCGCAACAGTTGGGAGGAGCCGTTTGACACGGGAACGGTCAGGAGTGCTGGGACCACAGAGGCTGCGGTGCTGCCTCTCAGCTCAGAACACAAACAGCCCGCCCGCCCACGCTGACCACGCAGCATGGCCTCTGGCACAGGGGACTCAGGGCGGACACCACCCTGGGTGGCCCAAGTGAGGAGGGCCCGGTGACGCTCAAAACACACAAAGGGTCAAACCCACAGCCCATTTGTGCGGCCACAGTCACGGAAAAGCCAGTGGCAGGACTCGCAGCTCCTGCGTGGAGAAACCGCGAGCAAGCTGTGTGAGGTGCGCTCTGTGCCACAGCTGAGACACAGCTCACGCTGGGTTCTGGGGGGGGGGGTGCTGAGCTGCAGAGCTCTACACCTCGGAGTGTAGGACCTCACCTCAAAACACAAGCCACATCACCTCAAAGAAAATGTCCATGGAAGCAACCCAGCCAGTCAGCTAGTCACTTCCTAGAGAAACAGAGACACGGATGCAGGTTCAGTCCACGGCCACTGAGGCCTTTACGCAGGCCCACCGTGACTGTGACGCTGAAAGGCTGCTAGCAAAGGCAAACCGTCCTGATTCCACAAAGAAACGGTGGAAAATCTCTGCTCTCTGCTGTGGGGTCACTGGGGAGTGGCAGCACTTGAAGAGGCAGCCCACGCCCCCATCACACTCCACCCTCGGCGGCCTCTTCTGAGGCGCACAAATACAGGGCCACCTGCAGGGCTGGAGGGGCTCCCCCACGGCCCGTCTACACCCCAACCTCAGCGCCCACCAGAGTCCTCATTTGAAAGGTAACGAACGACGATAAACAGAAACGGCTCTAGCTCACAAACCCAGCTGCAAGCACCATCTTAGAGGCTCACAGAAGAGACTACTGACAGGCAGACACACAGGGGACGGCAGACAGGGGCCTGAGGGGGCGAGCACAGCACAGGACAGGCAGACACACTTGCCGGGACGCGGGCAGACAGGAGGCTGAGGAGGCGAGGGAGGCTGAGCTTTTGCTCTCTCCTCTCCGCAGGCATGCTCCAGCATCTCCGGGGCTGACCCCTGCCTCACCTCCCCGGGGCGGGGATCACAGGAGCCCACCAGCACTCCCAGCCCTGGCTCGCTGATCTGAGTACTGCTTTGGTGCCTGCTGTTTACAGAGTTGCATGTGGCAGGAAGGAAGTGCGCCCGTCACTGCTCGTCCTCACACGTCTGGAGAGCGCTCTGTGCCCACCTCCTTCCAGGGACGTAGGGACAGGGTCCCGAGCTGGGCTTCAGGGTCTCTCCCGGGCGGCCGGGAGGGGAGGAGGGCCTAGCTCACACTTGGCCCAGGCAGAGCTGTGGCCCAAACCTCCAACCACAGGGCCGGGCGTCTAGATGCACACAGACACCCCCCTCTTCCGTGTGAACAATGTCCACACTCAGATAAGGTCACCGAAGCCTTTCCTGCCGCCAGGCCCGCGCTTCGGGTGCATAAATTCACACTCGGACACTCTCAGCGCCTGGCCAGCGCCTCCTCACCCCGGGTGGTGTAGCCGCCGATGACGTAGATCTTCCCCTTGCACTCGCAGGCCGAGAACTCCGCCAGGGGACTGGGCAGCGGAGCCACGAAGTTCCAGGCGTCCTGCTCGGGGCTGTAGCACTCCACGTTGGACACGGCCTGGCCGCCGATGGCGTACAGCTTCGCGCTCGCAGCCACCAGCTTGAAGTTGGAGCTGAAAGAAAGAACAAGCCCTCCAGGTCAGCTCCGCCTGGCGGGGAGGAAGGTGCGGGGCGCCCTGCCTGACGGCTGCGGGGGCGACCCTCAGGGGGCGTCTGTGCCCACGACCGCACGTCCTGCTGGGCAGATGGGAAGGCGCGGGCACACACAACGGCCAACGGCAGCTCCTATGGCAAGGACCAGTCTTGCCTGTGGGCCCGAGGCCAGGAACAGGGCCACACCCAATCGCTCACCTCATCCGAGGAGGTCACTCGTGGACCCAGTCAGCAGCTCCAGACCCAAGTGTGTCACTAACACACGGCAGCTGCACCGGACACGCACAGCCATCTCCCCCTTAGATTACACAGGGCGACAGCTCTGCAGAGAGCGCCCTCGTTATGTCGCCTGCAGAGAGCACGCTCGTTCTGTTACCCGCCGTCTGGAGGGTGTTGGGTGATGTGCAGTCCACGCCATCTCACACAGGGACCTGGCACCCAGCCACACCCGCTGCTTTCCTGTCGCTGGGTCCCCGTATCCAACAGAAACAACTGAGGACTCTGGTTCGGTTTCAGAGCGTTTCCGCCTGTGACGCAGGGAGCGTTTGAAGGAGCTCAACAGCCCACAGTGGCAGGGGCATGAGACCCTCACACCACAGCGGAAAGAGAAGGAACTAGGAAGCTGCTGGTGTGGCCTTCAAATCCCACCCTGTGCGGCTCGCCTCACCCCACCCCCGCTCAGAGGCCCACAACCTCACCAAACTGCATCACCAGCTGAGGAAGGTCCCAAACTTGAGCCTGGAGGTGGGGGAGGAGCAGGGAGGAGGGAGCAGGGACGGGGCGTGGGGATCACAACCGCCAAGGCTAAGACGGCCCATGAGCAGGAGAGACAGCAGGGCTGCAGAGAGGCCTTGGGGTCTGCAGGCACGGGCTGCTCCTGTGGAGGACCCAAGTTCAGCTCCCAGCCCCCACATGGCAGCCCACAAGCTCCTGTAACTCCAGCTCCAGGGGCTCTGGCTCCCTCTTCTGGCCTCCTCAGGCACCGGCACATGTGTGGTGCATGCACACACACACACACACACGCACACACACACACACACACACACACACATTAAAGTTTTGGTTTGTTTTAAGACAGGGTTTCTCTATGTAAGTTCAGCTGTTCTGGCTCTCATTCCACAGACCAGGCTGGCCTTGAACTCACAGAACCTCTGCCTCTGCCTCCCAAGTGCTGGGGTTAACGGTGTGCACCAGTACAGCCCAGAGTTTAAACTGTCTTAACAAGAGAGAGCACAGACTCTCCTCTCAGCTTTCTCCTGACACAATCCATACTTCACTTGTCCTCACAGAGGAGCTCAAGGTTCACGCTCCAGCAGGGCCCACACAGCTCACTGCAAGGCTCATTCACTCTGAGGCCACAGGTAAACAGGACGGCTGAGCTAATTAAAATCCTCGGGCCGGTATTTTGGAGTATTTGGATGTGTGCAGAGCCAGCCGGGGCGGGTTCCGGGAACTAAGCTCGGGTCCTCTGGAGCAGTGTGGGACCTTTAACACTGGAGCCCTTCTTTGTAGCCAGGCTTTCCTACACTGATTTACCGTGTCTGTGTCTCTGTGTACACGCGTGCGCAGGCAGCTACAGTGTACAGATGGAGGTCAGGGGAACCTGTAGGTGTCAGTTCTCTTGTACAGCCACAGGCGTCCCAGAGGTGGACTCAGGCCATTGGGCCCTGTCCACAGAGCCTCCCTCCAGCCCTGAACCCTGGTTCCTTAGCTCCAGGGGCCTCCAGAATCCTGAAGTTTCTGCTCCTATGACAAATCCAACGCCCTCAGTGCACGTCTGAGCTGTCAGTTACTTCACAATTATCTTTTCCTCCTTCCTGTTGACCCTGACACACCATGTTCAGGGAGGAATGTAACTGTAATACCAAATAAGCTTCATTTCGTAGCTGTCTAGGACTCACTTTCAGTAAGCAAGCAAGAAAAATTAGACATGGCTGCAACCTCACTTCCATTGCACTGGGGAGAAAGGCACAGCCCCAGGGCTCCCGCACGGTGACTCCGGAACACGGCTCAGCCTGCTGGAGGCCCTGGGTTCAACTCCCAAGACAGAGGCAGGAGACGAAGGGAGGGCTGAGATTCCGTAAGGGCTGAGAAACAAGGATCGGAGCTTAAAGCCTCGATTACAAAGTGGGAGGCAAGTCTGAACAACACAGCAAGACCTGGACTCAGACACACACTTAAAAACCAGGTGAGGCAGGTGCGAGAGGCGGGAGCCAGGACGCACGTGGCCGTGTTTAAAGAGCACAGGAAGGATGTCCAGAGGAAAGCAGACAGGAGCCGCGGCTAAGGGACGGAGAGCCCTGAGAGGCCGGCCTGCGGGGCCAGCGCGCCGAGTCCACGCAGACCAGCTGAGACCCACGGGGCGCAGACAGACCAGACCCTTCCACCCCACCCCCCTGCCCCCAGCGCCATCTCTGTGGAGTCAATGAAAGCTCTTACAGCTATTCTCAAATTACACTCTTGATGCTAAAAAACCTTCCTCACTTTGTTTTTGCTGCTTCTCAGAAGGCTCGCGGCTCGGGTGGGACCCCAGGGCCCTGCCTCAGCCTCCTGAGCCCCGTGCTGACGGCGGCTGCTCCTGTGTCTCAGGAGGGTGGAAACACAGCAGCCCTGGCCAGCACAGGAGGGACAGGGTGCGCTCACTCAGCCTCCTACACAGTCCGTCACACTTGGTTTCATGTTTATTTGCATGCCTGCATGTGTGTACATACATGTGTGTACACATACATGGGGCTGCCTGTGTGTACACATACATGGGGCTGCCTGTGTGTACACATACATGTGGGTGCCTGTGTGT